ATAATAATAACAATTAATAACAATTTCTTTTATAATCATTTGATATTAGAATCACAATGTGTAGAAACTTTTTATGTATGTGAGTATGTTGATTGTTAGTTCATTGATTTGAATTATTTTTCAAATCTTTCCATACAATTTAAGAATTAAAAAAAAAAAAGGTTGTTTTCAAGTAGTATTTGTATATCATTATTATTTTTAGGGTTAAAAATATATGATTAAGACAAATTTATAAGTAAAATCATTATTACTCATTAAATCATTTTATTTTAAAATTTTTGTGAAATAAATATAAGTAAACCGTTGTCTTTTATCTTTTTACTATTAACATATGTTAAATATGGTATACATATATTTATGTTTTCACTCACCTAAATCAATGGTATATGCACTTAATAATAGTAGTAGTAGTAGTAGCAGTAGTAGTAGTAGTAGTAGCAGTAGTAGTAGTAGCAGCAGTAGCAGTAGTAGTAGCAGTAGCAGCAGCAGCAGCAGCAGCAGCAGCAACAGCAGCAGCAGCAGTAGTAGTAGTAGTAGTAGTAGTAATGACAACAACATTAATAATAAAAATATTAATAATAGTATTAATTATATTAATAATAATAATAATAACAGTAGTAGTGGTAGTAGTGGTAGTAGTAGTAGTAGTAGTAGTAGTAGTAGTAGTAGTAGTAGTAGTAATAACAACAACAACAACAACAACATTAATAATAATAACATTAATATATAATAGTAATAATAATAATAATAATAATAATAATAATAATAATAGTGTTGAAATCTGCTATGCTCGGCTCGGCTCTGCTCTGCTATCCTGAAATCTGCTCTGCTCTGCTCTGCTGAAATTTAATCCGCTCTGCTCTGCTCTGCTGACCCCTGCTCTGCTCTGCCCAGAAGCTCAAAAGAATAGGGTCTTACTAATATAAAAAATCTTTTTATCAATACTGTCATTTAATTATGGGTAAATTTCAAGCAAAAAAATGGTTTAACGTTGTCTACTTAATGGCATGTAATGAAGGTTAGGCGATGGATGAGCTTCCATGGAGAAACCACGTAGAAATCGATCTCATGAATTACATCAATCGGCAAGGACGAACGTCGTACCATTTGGGATTCATCATGCCCTTTATTTCTCTATTTTTATTAGGGTTGTTTGGCAGATTTACCGCCGAAAACAAAGTGGTGGAAATGGTGGTTCATGTGGAGGACGCTTCCCTGGAGGAGGAAGTTTCAATGGTTCCATTTTCACAGAGGATGAAGCTTCAATGGAGCTAAGAAAGTTTCAATGGTTCCATTTTCACAGAGGATGAAGCTTCAATGGAGCTGAAAGCTTTGAACATAGTCAAAAATTAGTACTCCAAAGATCAAAGTTAGCTAACAACTCACCATACAACTACTTTTAAACTGTCATTAAATAAACACCTTATATTTATTTGAAATATCAATTGGAGCTTCCCAACATTTGACTAAAATTAGTAAGGTGGCTTGTCAATTAAAAGACATTATTTGTGTCCATGTATCTAAAAAAATATCGAATCCTATCGTGTCTCACACGTGTCCATGTCCTAGGTGCATTTTGACATGTTTCCTAATAAAAAAAACATTCAATTTCATATCGAGATCTAGAAGAGAGGAAATTTCATTAGATATCCCACTTGAGTAAAGAAAAGGGAGAATAGAGAAAACGCCTAAACCTAAGATGAAGCAAAATCGGTCATGAGTTAGATTATATACTGAGTAGAGAAGAGAAACAAAGAGAGAATGGAGTAATGGATGGAGAACAATTAAAAGGATTCTAGGGTTTTATCTTTTGTTCCTTTTATTTTAGAAATTACTTTTAAAAATATTTAAAGTAAGAGGGAATTTTTCAATATTTTTTTTTCTTTTTTAAACAATTAGTTGTGGGTTCGATCGTGTTAGCAAAAATTGTTACTCGTAGTAAAAACGCTTTTAATACATGTTTACTATAAGTTAATCAATAATTTTATGGTAATTCAAGTTACATTTGGTATGGTGAGCAATTATTTTGTTCTTGTATTTGTAACTTATGAGAATTTGTTTTTCCATGGAACAAACCATGCTTTAATAATGTTATTTGTTGTAAAGTTTTTCTTTTTTTTTGTGCTTTAGAACTAATCCGACTTCGGGACTTAGTTCTAGGTGGTTAGGTTATAGTCCCTTCTTAATTGTTGTAGGAAATCGAATACACGACCCTTCTTATCATGTCAACTTCAATCACCACTGCACCAACACTCAATTGGTAACTATATACTACCTCCGCCTCTTTTTACTTGACACGTATTTCTTTTTAATAAGTTTTTTTTAGTTAATACGTTTCCTTTTGGGGTAAATTTTTTACCTTGTATTTACAAGCTACCCCACTTGCTTTTTCAATCTCTCTCACTCTCTCTCCTCTCTTTAATATATATGCCTAAATCAAGCGCGTCAACTAAATAAAAACGGATGAAGTATATTTAATACTCCATACACTCAATTAGAAACTGTACATATTTTATACACAAAATATCATTGGTCAAAGTTTGACATTTGAATTGTGTCAAACTGTCAAAGCATTGAATTTGTACGACTTGAAAGGCAAATCCGCATCTCCAAGACTCTATATGGTTCTTGGAATATTGGTTTTAGCCAGGTTTAAAATAAGTTCAGCCAAATTCTCATCCCACCACTTAATATAGTAGTAATATGGTATACTCCATTTATATCAGATAGAAAAATTTGCTAATCATATCCAATTATCAATCTACAAGAGACTAATAATGTACAAGAGACTAATATGCACAAGACTAATAACAACAACTTGATCACTGATTTGGTTCTCAAATCTCATAAAAGTAAACACATAAATTATTCAATTTAAAGTAATCAACCATTTTCGTTAAATCAAAGACGAATATGTACACTTGATCAGATTAATTAATCAATCTAACATCACCTATTTCGAGAAAAATTAAATTAAATGTAAGGATTAACATGAGAAGAGTAATCTCTAATTCCAGCACCTTCCCAACCCATCCACTCCTCCCATAATTCCCATTCTGAATCATTGTCTGTTCCTCTAAATCCTTCATCTGGATCATAATATGCTTCCACTGCTTCCTCTTTTGTTTCGCCTCGAAAATTACTCATTAACATCTACATTAACACCAAATTCAAAGTCAATTAAGCTACGTTTGTTCAAGATTATTGTGCTGTGAATTTGTCTATTTGAAAATTGAATAATAAATAGAAAAGAATCAGTATTGCTTACATCATAAGCTTCATTGATTTGGTGAAAATTGATTGTGCAATTATCTCCTCTACATACATCTGGATGATACTGTAAACACCACATTTTACAAATCCAATTAGATTTACCATAAAAACACTTCAAATTCCACAAAAATCAACACGATTTAGTAAATTACAGCTGAAATGTCTTAAATTAGATCCAAATTGATAAAATTTCTCAAAATCAAACCTCTCCAATAAATTAAAGCAAATTTCACGAAACTTAACGGGAAAAAATATTTCATTGGCGAAAAAACTCAATTTTAAGCAAAATACGCATCAATAAGGGAAAAAAAAACAACTCAGGCAGAAAAAACATACAGTATTAATTCAACAGATAAAATACGGTTGAAATTTCTTAAATTAGACGAAAACAGATTTTTTTTCACAAAATAAGAATCTACAACCAGATTAACAGTAAAATAAATTAGAGAAATCGATGAAATTTTCACAAAACATTAAAAAAAAAACAAAAACAATGAAAAATCAGAGTGAAGCACAGATATTAAAGCAAAATCAAAGGAAATTACCTGCAAAGCAAGGCGTCGGAAAGCCTTCTTGACCTCAGATTCAGACGCTCCGCGATGAACGCTAAGAGTCTGGTAAGGATCAGCGTAAGTAGTAGCAGCCGAAGCAGAAACAAACGCAACACGATTTCTGCTCGTTTTGTTCTTCCTCTTCTTCATCAATGGAGAAAAAGATGAAATTGAAGAGGATAAACCTTTCACTGCCGCCATTAAAGCTCTAAAACAAAGCAAATTTAGATAATTCTAACAAAATAAATAATTTCGGATAAAATTTGAGACAAAAAAAATTTGGATAGAATAAATAATTGTAGGAAGAAGAAGGGTTGGTAGAGTTGTATATATATAGAGAAAAAAGGGAAACAAGGATGACGTGTAAAGACGTGGATTGTGGAAAAAGGACTGAGTCTCGCTTGTGGTGCTAGATAAGGATCTGCCAATGATCTTATCCGTGTAATAAAAATAGGAGTTTTGTGGTTTTAGGGGTATTATTTATTTATTTATTTTTAGCTCGTTTTGTTTTTATTTTTTTATTATAATATGTGATAATGATCTGTTTTGAACGTGGCAGTCCACCGCGGATGACATAATGCCACGTGTTTAAAAGTTGAAGGTTAAATTGTTTAGATAGGGTACTTTTTTGCATTATTAGTTTATACTTTTATCTAATTCCTAGAGCGGTATTGTCGGTTTGGAAGCTGGAATGAGCCCAATGTTTTGCACAAAACTGGTTTTTCTTCTCGGGTGCAAAATTGCAAATTATGCAAGGAGTTGAGTACTTATGATATTAATGAAGCATATGTCATCAATCATTTAAAAAAAACATATTTATTGGTGAAAAATAAAAAGACCAATCATATTTTATTATAATGCTTTACATGGATTTTAAATGTTCAAAAGGGTGAATGAAAATTTTAGAATCCCGCCATATATATTTCAAGAGACCTGAATATGAGTGAGAAAATTATGATTTCAGTGGAACCATTAATTGCAAACAAAAAAAATAAAATAAAAGTAATGTCACATCACCAGTGGCGGATCTAGGATTTTCAACAAAGGGGGCACCAATATCTACCAACATAAAAGGATATAGACGAATTTATTTTTTTTAAAAAAAACTTCTATTCATAGAGGTAAATTCATAATGTAATAAAAAATTTCAATCATAACAAAGTTCTACTTAAAAAGTTACAATTGTTCTCGTCGAGTTTTCATATGTTGGAATCGGTTTACGATAGCATCTATGCTTACACTAAAAAACAAATCTTTTTCTAGACTAGTAACCAAACAATCATTCAACAACTGATCTCCCATGCTATTGCGCAATTTGCTTTTAATTTGAGTCATTCCTGAAAAAGCTCTTTCAACACTTGTTGTCGCCACAGGGAGAAGCAACACTAACTTCAAAAGCATGTATACTATCGGATGAGTTTCATTCTTTTGTGTCTCAACAAGTTTCATGGAAAGCTCATTAAGGTTCTTCAAATTCAAAAATCTCTCATCACTTTTTATATTCACAATAAAATTTTTAAGTGAATCTTCCATAAAAGAAATTTCAACACTCGAAAATTCATTGGGATAAAATTTAGCAAGTCGAATCAATTTGTTAATGTCAAAAGAAGAAAACTGGTTAATGGGATTGAAGCAAGACATGCATATAAGTAATTCCTTACTTACCTCATCAAATCGATAATCAAGTTCTTGCAATTGTAGATCAATGACACTTAGAAAAACTTCGACTCGAAAATGGTGAAGATTAGTCACGTGTGGCCTACCACCACGAAATTGTCGTCTCCTTGGGACAACATACTTTTCCTCCATGTTAGGAATTTCAATGTCATACTTAACCATAAATGTGGTTACTTTTTCCTTGTGAGAATCCCAATCATCATCTCGTAACTCTTGTAAATGTCTCTTAGTTACATCCACCATTGTCATTGCATTCACAATATCTTGATCACTTTTTTGTAATGGCATATTCAACTCATTTGTAATAGAAACACTAGTAGAAAAAATCAAAAAGGCACCCCCTAATTGGCACCGGTTCAGTCCAAACCCGTGCCAAAAATGGCCTTAAAATTTGGTGGGAAGTTGAACCAGGATATATGACACCGGTTCACTTCAAACCGGTGGCAAAAACATAAAAGGGCACCGGTTTAAAGTGAACCAGTGCCATTAAATATTAAAAAAAAAACCGGCCCATATAAAAGCCCCCAACCCAAACACATTAGCTCATTTAGCCGTTTCTCTTTCTCTCTCCTCCTCTCTTCCTCTTTCTCTCTCCTCTCCTCCTCTTTCTCGATTTCCTTCTCCGTCCTCCTTCTATTTCTCTTCCCTCATCTCCTTCTCCCTCATCTCCTTCCAACATGCAACACCGTCCTCACTTCTTTCAATCGATTTCTTGGTATTTTTTTTTATATTTTATTTTGATTATTATTTTTGATTTCTGTTCATTTTTATTCGATTTTAATAGGTTTTTTTTTTCGATTTTCTGGGTTTTTTTCTTCGAATTATGGGTATTTGTTTTCGATTTCATTTTTGGGTATTTGTTTTTCGATTTCATTTCTAGGTAATTGTTTTTCGATTTCATTTTTGGGTTTTGTTTTTCGATTACATTTCTGGGTATTATTATTGTTTTTCGATTTTGATTCATTTTTCGATTATTATTTGTTTTTCGATTTTAACTAATTTTTGATTTTAATTTTTTTTATTTTTTTATTTTCTGGGTTTTAATTTTTTTCGATTTTCTGGGTTTTAATTTAATTTTTTCTTCATTTTCTGGATTTTCTCGATTTTCTGGGTTTTAACTAATATTCGATTTTAATTTTTTCGATTTAATAGGTTTTAATTTTTTTTCGATTTTAATTTTTTCGATTTTTCTAATTTTCTGGGTTTTTAACTAATTTTCGATTTTAATTTTTTTTTGGATTTTTTTTTTTATTTTCTGGGTTTTAATTTTTTTTGATTTTCTGGGTTTTAATTTAATTTTTTCTTCATTTTCTGTATTTTCTAGGTTTTAACTAATTTTCGATTTTAATTTTTTCAATTTTCTGCGTTTTAATTTTTTTTCGATTTTAATTTTTTCGATTTTTTTTTTAATTTCTGGGTTTTTAACTAATTTCGCAGCTAATACATTACTATTTGCTTTGCAGGACCAAAATATTGCACATAATTGAAGAATCAAGAATCAAGAATATTGATTTAGATGTTTGGGTTTTTTTTTTTTATTGTGATGTTGTAATATTTTTTTTTTGATTTATATTGTAGTTCTTTTTTATTTATTTATATGTTGTAATTTTATAATTTGTATATTGTAATTTTTTCTTGATTATATACTGTAAATTTCGGCTATATTCAATGATATTCGATTAATATGTTGTTGTTCTTATTTATTTTAGTCAATTTGATTTTTAAGTGAAAAATGACGACGACAAAAAAAATGATTTTTGGGGGTTTTTTGGCACCGGTTAACCGGTGCCAAAAACTTTGAAATAATTTTCCGTGGGCCTTTTTGGCACCGGTTCAAACCGGTGCCTTAGGCCGGGTTTGAACCGGTGCCAAATTCATTTTTTCACGTAGTGAAAATATACTCTTCATCAAATGTGCCACAAAGATAAAATCAAATGTCATCAATAAGTGAGTAAGTGACTCAGCTTTACTCCTATCAACACGATCAGAAATAGCTCCAATGTCATCAAGTGACTCAAGAATCATGGGATACATATTAAGCACATTCAAAATGGTTCTAAAGTGAGAACCCCAACGAGTATCGCCGAGTCTACTCAAGCTACGCTCCTGATTTAAACTAGTTCCCGATTCAAGTTCACCCAAAGTTAGTGCCTCCACAACATGTTCAGCCTGTTTTTGTCAAAGAAATTCTTTTCTCTTAGGTGAAACACCCACAAAATTTAATAATGGTGCAAGCACATCAACAAATAGCCACCCACAATCAGCATTTTTCTTAGCTACGGCAACAAGAGTCAATTGGAGTTGATGGGCAAAACAATGAACAAAATATGCAGATTCACATTCACTTTTAATTAAAGTTTCAAGGCCGTTAATTTCACCTTGCATATTGCTGGCACCGTCATAACCTTGACCACGAACTCTAGAAAAAGTAAGAGAATGCTCCATAAGTAAAGATTCTATTGCAGATTTTAGTGTCAGAGATTTGGTATCAGCAACATGGATAATACCAAGAAAGCGCTCAGTCACCTCTCCTCTTTTATTTATGTATCTCAAACAAAGAGCCATTTGTTCTTTATCAGATATATCAGCAGACTCATCAGCAAGAATAGCAAAAAAATCACTTCCCAATTCATCAGTTATTGCTTTGGTTGTTTCTTTTGCACAAGCATTAATGATGTCTTTTTGAATAGTAGGAGATGTCATTTGAGAGTTACCCGAAGCATTTTCAAGAACTACTTGCCGAACATCAAAATTTTCAGTTGCAAGAAATTTCAGAAGTTCTAAAAAATTACCTCGATTCGACGAAGACTCACTTTCATCATGACCACGTTGGGGTAACCCTTGAAGTAATAACCACCTCAAACACTTAATAGAAGCTTGTAGTCTCTTTCGATACTTACTCATAGTATCCTCAGTTTGCTTAGATAAACCAGATGCAATGGAACCCTTCTGATTTTTAAAAGCATTTAAACTCCCCATAGCTTGATTGTGGGCACTCATATGTCCTCCAATATGCTTATCATATGCATCTGTTTTATTCCAAGCTCTAAATCCACCACTTACAAAAGCATCTCCACCCGGTGAATTTTCATTCTTGAATAAATAGCAAGGAAAACAAAACGCTGCATCCTTTTCAACACTATACTCAAGCCAAGATCTATACTTTTAAAACCAATTAGGGTTAAAACGACGCATTTTTTGCCCAAAAGGTCTTTGAGGAAATTCATATTCTTTAGGCTGGCAAAGTTTTCTTTGAATATATGCTCTCCTAACAAGGTCCCTGTCATCTGGATGAAACTCATGTATCTTTTTTCTTAGTCTTGGATCATGAGGAAGATTTACAACGTCAACCACAGTTAATCTTTCTTCATCGTTTAGAACTTCAATCCTAGGATTTGAACTAGCTCCAATTTCTGCTTCACCTCCTAAATTTTGAGGGCTATTTTCAGTTTCTTGAGATGGAGGATTATCAATTGGTTGAGAAATATCAGGTTGATTTGCTTGAGATTGGGGAGGATTAGGACTAGAGGTAGCACCAGATTCTTTATGAACTCTTTTTTAAAAAAAAACTTGTAATATCTCTTGTTTTTGTTCTCTTCATACTGTAATTTTAAATGAGTATAATTAGATTTTTTTACAATTACTTTAACAAGATACAATTATTTTGTATAGCTTTACAATTAATTGATAATCCCCTCATTCCCTCAAACAAATTAACAATTTACTAATAGTAATAAAGTACCACTGTAACAAATTATTATTTATTAATGTGCAATATTCAACATATTATATAATTCATATCAATTTCAATTATAAAATTTATTAAAAATATCAACATTCGACAACCAAATCAAGGAAAAAATTAAGAACATTAAAGAATAAAGAATAACAAAGGATAATAAGAAAGTAACTGACCTTAATTTGGTAGATGTGACACCTGATTAGGGGATTTTTATCCACCAATCACCGTTTGACAAGTGGACCAACCAGGTTCCGCCACGTGTCCTTCGCGTAGGCCAATAGGAGCCTGCCACTTGTCAATCACAGATACGTCCTCTACGGACCAATTGAGACACGCCACGTGTCCACCCATGCCAAATGGGAAAACCGGCCAACAAGGCCCAATCCTGTTTAGAGGCCCGGTCAGCCCTAGGTTTACCCTAAACCTAGAGAGTGGCACGCTTCTCAAGACTATAAATACTTAATTAATCCTCATTAAAAGGGAATTAAGCAATCAAGCAATTAAGAGAGCAATTGATCAAGCAACTAATCTCACCTGAAGAACGGAACAGAACAGAAACATTACGGAACACTAATAACCGGCTAATCTCGCTAACAACGCAGATTACCAACATTAAACACTCTCACCTAGAGAGATCTTATTACTTTAAATTCCGTATTAATTACTCCTTAATCAGGTACTAACTTGACCGTTGGAGGCGGAGCTCTCAGGAGTCTCCGTTATTTTGCAGGTACAGGCGTCCGGTTCCAGTCTCGGAATTGTAACTCTCCCGCAGGACATCAGAAAACCCCGAAACATTTGGCGCCGTCTGTGGGGAGAGTACTTCAGAGATGGCATCCAAGTCTGTACCGACTCCTGAAGAGAGGCGTCCCCTAAACGACCCTCAAGTTCAGTCGGACCATGACACCGAAAGTGAATTTGAAGTTGAAACTCATACAGCTCCAGACGGGACCCTAAGGGCCCGACGTACCCGTCATACCGAAAGGAGGGAACGGGAGCATCTTCAAACAGGAAGCGAGCCAGCAGGCGCACCGCCTGCTCGGCAACAGCCGACTGATGGGTCTGCTCCCATCACAAGGAACGAACTCATGACCTTCATGAGGGACTTCAAGGGAGAGATTCAAGAGTTGATCAACAGGAAGCCGCCTGCTTCAGTCAAGGAGCAGTCGGCCAAGAAACCTTCCACTTCACAGAAGAGGAAGCCAGTTCAAGGGCGAGAGGCGACTCCTCATCCTAAATCTAGGAAGCGTGAGCCACCTGCCCTTGATTTCACAAAATTCCGTTATCCTACAGGAAATAGGAAACCGGTTCTTCATATTCAGGCGGACGGGTCAAAGCAAACATTCACAGATGCTCGGCTACTGCTAGAGCAGAAGAAGAGTGACCGATTGTCAGAGTCGGCTTCTACTTCAAATTTTCAAGACAGTTTGCGAAATGCCTCGATGAGGCATACTCAGTCGTACCATGAGAGTCAGTCAGGCGGCACCTCCCGTCAGTCCGGCTTTCATAGTGCCCAGGCGGTACCAAACTTACCATTTGTGCCGCAACAACAGTATTTTATGCAGCCACCTCCATTTGGTGGACCTGCAGCAAAAAACGTCCAACCTATGGGCTGGCAGCTACGGTTGCTTAGACTTGGTGAACAGCCGTCGGCCTTCTCCAAGGAAATTACTGAAGCCGCTCAGCCGGCCAAAGTAAAAAATGTACTAGTAGGCGCCTATGACGGCACTACTAACCCAGAAGACCATCTGATGGCATTCACCAACCTGATGTACCTTCAAGGGTTGGATGATCCCACTTGGTGCAAGTCTTTCCCAGCGACTCTCAAGGGAATCGCACAGCAATGGTTTGGCAACCTGCCGACTGGTTGTGTAAACAGCTTCAGGACGCTTGCTTACTTATTTGCCTCCAACTTCGCCATGAACATCCCTGCGAAGAAAACGACCCTTGATTTGAGAACAATTCAGCAGGGCGAGAAGGAGGGGCTTCGCTCTTACATCAGGCGATTCAACCTAATGAGAATACAGATTCAAGGGTTACCGGATGAGGTAGCTTATACCGACTTTTTTAGAGGTCTCAAAGATGGGTCTACCTTCAAATTTGATTTGGTTCGAAAAAGGGTGGCGACTCTTCAAGAGGCCTTGATTGAAGCAGAAGCCTATATACAGGCGACTGATCTGTGTACGATAAAACAGTCGGACGGGAAAAGGTTCGACAAAAGAGAAGGACGACAGAAACAGTCGTCTAACAAAGATGAGAAAAGAAAAGAGGTCTGGGCGGCTGATTTCTCTAAACAGCCGGCCCAGAAAAAGAAAAAAGAATTCAAACCATACTCCCCAAAGTATGTGTTTAACAAGGATAACCAGTTTATCCTAAAAGAAATAAAGGGACGGATCTCAATTGAGAAGCCGGTCCCCATGAAGGGTTCTGCAAACAACCGGAACCAAGATAAAATCTGTGCTTATCATGATGACGTTGGTCATCACACCAATGACTGCATCAGTCTCATGCGGTACCTAGACCGCCTGGCTGAGCAAGGTGATCTTGACACTTACGTCAAGAAATCTACGGGGAACACTTCCTCAAAAAAGCAGTCGGCCAAAAAGAATCAACAGGCCGACAGCTCCGATACAAATGATGCAGTCGTCTACACCATTGCAGGCGGCTTCTCAGGAGGCGGCCCCACTATTAGGGGCAACAAAGATAATATAAGGCGGTTAGATGTAAATTCCGTTCACCAAGAACGGCCGTCCAAATATACATTTCCTGAGATTGTCATCACTGAAGAGGATCTAGGAGGAATAAGGGGGCCGCATGACGACCCTCTCGTTATTGAATGTAAAGTGGCCAACCAGAGAGTTGGCCGAATCCTCATAGATACCGGGAGCTCCTCAGATCTCATCAGCAGCAAATGTCTGTCAAAACTGAAATATCAGACGGACTGCATACATCCGGCCTCCCACCCTTTAATAGGGTTTGGAGGAGGAGTCGTCCACCCACTGGGACGAGTAGATTTGCCCATTCGCCTTGGCGAAAAAGGGGAAGGACGACACATGGTAGTCCGGTTCCTAGTAGTAGAGGAACTCTCGGCCTACAACATGATTCTGGGTCGACCAACCCTGAATAATTCCAAGGCTGTTATAATCCCGTCTCTTATGTTGCTCAAGTTTGAGAGGGATAATGGAACAGTCGGCTCCCTAAGGGGAGATCAGAGGATGGCCCGAGAGTGCTATCTCTCGGATGTCAAGCCCACTGTTATGGCCACTGGGTCAAGTGGAGAAAAAACAGACCTTGACAATATCAAGGAGAGTACGCCTGTTCAAGAAACAGGCGACAAAAAGAGAAAGGCGTCCCAGACAGAGTCCGCAAGAAAAGCAAGAAAATAGCAGTCATTGGCGGAGGAGCGGCCGGATGAGTTCCGCCCTCAGCCGGCTGGTGAGCATTCGGACCTGATCTTAGACGACTCACGTCCTGACCGAACAGTCAAAGTTGGGACGACTGCTCTGAGAAACCTGGGTGACGACTTTCATAACCTATTGAAAGAATACAAGGATATCTTTGCATTTGAAGTCCATGAAATGCCAGGCATCAGTCCTGATCTGGCGGTACATAAACTCGCTCTGGATCCGAAAAAGAAGCCGGTACGGCAAAAGAAGCGGAACCATGGCGAAGAAAGAAGTCAGGCGGCAGCCACCGAAGTTAAAAAATTACTTGATGCAGGGTTCATTCGGCAATGTTAGTTCCCAGACTGGGTTGCAAATGTGGTGCTTGTTAAAAAGCCGAATGGCACCTGGCGAATGTGTGTAGACTACACAGACTTAAACAAGGCGTGCCCCAAAGACAGTTACCCTCTGCCTAAAATTGATAATCTGGTCGACTCAACAGCCGGCCATGCCTTGATGAGTTTCATGGACGCCTATTCTGGTTTCCATCAAATTCCCTTATGGAAGAAAGATCAGGAGAAGACGGCCTTCGTCACTGATCAGGGGTTATACTGTTACACGGTCATGCCGTTTGGTCTTAAGAATGCCCCGGCTACCTTCCAACGAATGATAAACACAGTGTTCTTTGATCAGATTGGGAGAAACGTCGAGGCATATATTGATGATATGATTGTCAAGACTAAACTTCAGAAAGATCATCTGACGGACCTCCGAGAAACTTTCGCCACACTCAGGCGGCACCATGTCATGCTCAATCCCAAGAAATGTGTATTTGGAGTTGAGTCTGGGAAATT